TTTGGTCTGCCAATCGCCATTTGCGGCGAAGGGGTTAATTAATTAAACCCTCGGATCGGTCGTCCGGCGGAGCGTCGACGAGGCGTCATCGAGACGTCGTCGAGGAGTCATCGAGGCGTCGTCGAGGCGTCGAGGGATACGGTTCGGGCAGGAGGGGTCATCGCGGGTTTCCAGAAAGCCGCGGCGCGAGGCCGGCCAGTCGGGTCGGTAATCGGCCGTGGCGAATAGGTAATTCGAAATTCCATCGAACGGTGAGCCCGTCGTTCTCCCTGGGCTGACACAGGGCATTAGGTAAGTGGTAGATAATAATAGGTTACACCCGCTGATGGGCGAAGGTAGTCTATCGAATGGCTCTCGGAGCGCGGCCGTTGGCTCGCACGCATCCCGAGCGACGCGGCGAACGAGCGGCCGAGAACGAAGAGCGGGCACGAGGAGGAGAAGGAGGACGGCCGAGTACCCGAGGGAGCCCGAACGAGCGAAAGAAGAAGATCGAAGCGGACGACGCGAAAGAGATACTTTCCGCTCCTCGGCGGGAAGGGCCGAGAGGTCCGCAGGTATGCAAGGCGCTCGAAAAGAGAGAAAGGGAGGAGAGCAAGGAGGGAGAGAAACGAGGGGAAAGGTCAGGGGAGACGGAAGAAGGAGAGAGACAGGAAGCGCGAGGGGAGAGAGAGAAGGAGAGCGAAGAAATTAATAGCCATAAAATATGAATAGAAATTAGCAGGTTCGGGGTGGCGTGACGCGTTTGCTCGCTCATTTCCTTTCGGCGCGTTGAAAAACAACAAAACAACAAAATACGGGGCGAGCCTGTAATTTACCCGGCTGCCGCCGACCGCGCGCCCGGTTCCCGCCAGCGCGGCCGTTGCACGGGTCCGGGCCATCATCGTCGTCGTCGCACGGTAGGTATGGTAGGTAATGATCCGGTAATGACCCTGACGCCTTCGGAGCGGACGTAGAGATGCGTAGGATGCAAGGGGATCGAGCCCTCCGCCCGTCCTCGGTTGCCACCTCCGCGCGGGCCTCTCCCTCTCCCTCTCCCTCTCTCTTTCTCTCTTTCTCTCTGCCTCTCCCGCTTCCCCGGCGATGTTCGACACCCTCGGAGAGAACGCGCAGCACCTCCTTTCTTAAGGGCTTTTGTTTTTGCGTTTTAAACGGCAGTTATTAGCCGCCTCGCTGCCGGGCCCGAGCGTCCCGCCGCTGGCTCTCCGCTCGCTTCTCACTTCCCTCCCCGGTAATGCGGCCCGCTAATGGGCCGGAGACTGCGCCAGGGAGGGGGCCGGGAATCGAATCTTCGCTTTTTACGTGTCCTCCCCACCCCCGAATCGGCCCGCGTTCGGTTTTATCTTAATTTTGATCGAGCTTCGAAGATCGGACGTTAAGCTTGCGTAATGTATTAAGGGAGATTTCTCATCCAGGGCACGACAAAAATTCACTTTTTCCTTGCGCGTTCGTCAGACCGTAAGTCGTGGCAACGCTTTTCCCCGGTGGCGAGTCGATCCGTATTTTTTTCGCCGCATCTTGTACCCCCAGGCAACTATTAATTTGCAAATCGCGTAAAAGAAAAAGCGGAATCCAACAAAAAAAGCACCCGCGGTTTTTACTTAAACGAGCTCGAGCAATCTCGTCTCCTTTAATTGTTTAATCAAACTTTTCAAATATATATAAGAATTTCGGCGAGGCTTTTAGAAAGCAACTTTTGAGAGATGAGTTTTTTTTTGCGAAACGATGAACATGGTTCAAGAATTGTATGTTTAAAAAAATTACGGACAAGCTATCCTCCGCGCAACGAATAAATGCTTTCCTGAAACCCTTAATTCTTTTTTATATCCAAATTGTTACAACTTAATTAAGTATTCGTCCCAACTCTCATCGGGTTTTAAGATGGGTTTCGTTTAGTGAAATCATCCCAACGATGAAGTCACATTAGGAATTTGGATGACAAAGCTACCTTATAAAAAAAAAATTAGTAAACAACCCACGTCATCCACGCAACTTTGCGAGGTTTTTCAACCGTGCATTAAATGTTAAGCCGATCAATCGCCGGTGGTATGTTTAACACTCGACGAATATCGTCGTAATATATTACGGGCCTCTGCGACAGGAATTAATGTTACCTCGTGCGCGTTCATAAATATTCCATACGCCGTTCGGGAGATCGTACTTCTTTACCAAACTTCGAGTCGACCCAGAGCTCCAACGTCCATTATCTCCAAAATTTGTGTACTACAAGAAGAATCGCATCTACGGAAAAACAATTACCTTCCTCGAATGCAATCAACGCACGTAATTCAACAAGAAATTAACTGAACCCAGCCTCTAACCGTTCCTTGTCCAACGTACGTTCAAAACTCACCCTTTCTACAGCTTCGCCCCACTAACAAACTAAAATGAATGGCACCTATGATAAAACCGGAGAAAAACAAATCCCCCCCCCCCCCTACTGTTCCACATTTCCAAAGATGCGTACACGGTTATTAACCCACGTTACACCCTTTGAACCGGAGGAGCCTTATAATACCCGTTAAAAAAATATTCAAAATACGCGATCCATACAATATTATGTATCCCTTAAAATAAACAGTGATACCCAAACGCCTGGTTTTTCCGAAAAACTGGCAGGAATCGGTCCTGAAACGAAACGGCGACCGACAGGGATGACGAGGGGCCGGGGGAGGGGAGTAGACGGTGCCGAGCGGGGCGAACGGGGGGGAGGTTCGAGCGGCAGCGGTAATGACAGGCCGCCCGCTCTCGGAGCTAATATAGATGAATGCCCTGCCCTCCTTGCCCTCCGGACTCTCGACTGGATCGGGACTCTCCGCGCGCGGACGAGGATAAGGGGCACCGGGGCCCGAAGCGCGGGGAGGGAGCGCGAGCGAGGGAGAGAGAACGAGGGGGAGCCGGAAGGTGCCGAGAGAGAGAAAGAGTGAGCGAGACGGAGCGAAAGCGGACCAATGGCCGGGCCGGGGAGCGGGGGGTGCCCCAAGAGGGTGAAAAAGAGGGCTGGTAGGCCGGAGGGGCATCTATCTATCAGCGCCGGCGTGAAGTGGGCGGGCGCATGCGCCGTATTGCCGCGTAAGGCCGCTCTCTCATTAACTCGGCCGCCGCCGCGCGCCGCGGCCGCAACCGGCGCGACCGCTCGGCGCATGCGCAAAGACCGCTCTGCCGGACACCACGGATACGCGTTATCAACGACCTTTGCGAAGCGGTCCCGCACGAGTAGGACTCGAGGTGAGAGCCAATCGTGCGCGCGCGCGGGCGACGCAAACTTTACCCTCGGTTTCCGACATCGATTGCGGACCCCAACGGGGTCGCAAGCGACCCGAGAGGGGGAAGGTCGGGTCGCCTGGGTGCACCCCGTGATTCGGAAGGAAACGTTTAATCGGTAATTTGGGATAGAGAGATGTATCGTATGTTCGAGGAAAACGAAGCAGGAGATAAAATAAAGAGCGAATGATGGACGAAAAGAACTAAATCATTACCGGAAACGACGTCTTGCGGAACTCCCGTGAAATGTCGTAATTGTTGCGTGTTTTATTATCCGCCGATTGAACGAAAAATTGGGTCCAACGTCAATTTCCTAGGATAAGTGTTTCTCTACCGGTTATGATTTTAACCCCGTGTCTCATTTGCAGGAATCTAAAAAAACGATGTGTAAGCCGTGGATTAACCAAAATTATGTTCGGGACTCTAGAGTATAAATTCCTGGGTAATGACTGATCGAAACAGGAAAATAGAATCATGAATATACGAGTCAAGAAATGGCATGACTAGGGGGAACGTTTACGGTTATAATCTACCTCCGGAGGTGACAAATCACTGCGAACATTGAACACGGAGAATGGGGTGGATTTTCATAAATTAAGCAACAGACTTAAAACGCAATCAATTTTGATACCTTTTCCTATCGTATGCGTTAAGAGAGCCATCGAGTTAATCCTATTTCCATGCCACCATTTAATCTGTTAGAATCTACGGTACTTTTTTTTCCTGAAATACGGATAAATTTCAAATAATAAGGACAAGGAATGTTTTAGTGGATTCTTGAAAAATGTTCTAATCGTGACAACCCACGTTTCCTCGGAATCATTTTCAAGAATTCCATGTATCGATGAATTCTATTCTGGATCCCGAAACGGGGTCCTGGGCAGCGACAGCAGGTGCATCTAACGACATCCTACCGCATCGTGAACAACACCGAATCGACCTACACCTTAATCGCGATTAAACGCGGTTTCATCCGCAACACCTGACCCTGCGTAAACCTGGCCTCCTTAAGCGTAGCCTGGTCGATTTCTGTCGGACGGGATAATCGCCGGAACTGACGGACGACCCCACAAGAAGCGTAATCCGGCGGTCCCTCCCCAAAGAGACTATTCCACGTTAATCGGATGATAGAATATAATTTTCATAAAACGGAAAACAGGCAATGGTTGCGTTGAACCATCGGCTGTTAGCACCTCGATCGGTAGATGACCTCAGGATTTAGAATCCTCAAAAGCAACGCCACATCTACGCGTAGGAAGCAAATCCCAATCCTACAAGACCACCTTCACACGGTCGCAGCCGGTGATCTTTTTACTTTTTTAATGCCGATAGACGGATAAAATAAAGAAATTCAAAAGCTAGTTGCCACAGACTTCGACCATTAAGACAAGGATGAAGTTATTTTATTTTAAAATATCAGACTTGCAAAAGAAATGGTTCTCGAAGACGACGCGAATTCCCGTCAGCGTTTGCGAATGCGTTAACAGCGAGAGTAATTGCCATTGATAGGGAAGTAAGAATAGATTTAAGGAAATGAAAGAGAATCGCGGATTTCTAGAGGAAACTCGATCGTTCCAGTCGCCCTTTCGAGCGATCACCGATGTAGAAGTATTCAGCTTCACGCGGAGAAATTGTGAAAAATGCGTGAAAAAAAAAAAAGAAAATAAGAGGTTCGGAGTGGATCGAAAAACCAGAATCGAGGAAAGGGCGACGGATTCGATCTAGGTGGAGAAACGTACCGGTCGAAATCTGTCAGCCGCGACGAGTCCCGGAAGCCTTTGGCGAACGGGTTGCTGTCGATCTTCAGCTTCGTTATCTGCAAGATGAAAGGAAAAAGCGTCACGCGAGATGTTACGGGGAGTTGGCAGTACTGCTACTCCGCTCCTCGGCCGTTTCCACTATTTCTCTATTCCGCCGGTCCCGCGGCGACTGGGAACCGGCCGTGGGAACGAAACGGGGAGGCGGAACGCCGTAAAGTGAAAAGACGATTTACTCCCGAAATAATTGGCCGTAATTAGCCGACATTACCGGAGCGCGGTGAAAGCGCGCCGATTTAAAATAGGTCGATCGCTCCAGCGTCGACGGCGGCCGATCGGCCGGATCGACGAGGAATCGCGTGATCGGCACTACGGACCCTCGCAAAAGAAACCGGCAACGACGATCCGGCCCCCTCGGTCCCCGGGAACCCCGGGAGCCAGACCCCCCTTCAGCCAGGGTACGTTTTGTCGGCAGTGTAATGCACGCTTACCAACTGATTCTGGTAAGCAGTTACCGCAGTGAAGATCGCTTCCGGGAAGATGAATGTCTTGTGCTCCTCTTTCTCGAGATCCGTGATCTTGTAGTCCTTGTCGGTCGACCGACACCGAACCAGGTGTATCCTCGGTTGGTACCGATGCATCGAGTTCAATACGATCTGAAATTTAACATTTACGAAAAAATCAGTTTCTAGAAGATCCAGAAAAACTCGTTTCAATGTAGATGCGTTGGTTACAAGACGTACGGTAAGAACTGATAATTTGTAATTTTTGGAAACAATTCGTAAGGGACGTTCGCGTCCCTTCACGGATACGTGTACAGTACATTTACGATATTTTAAAAAGATTCCGTGAATACATGCATAGTCATCCAAACGTTCGGAAGCCTTATAGGATCCATCCGATAAGTAGAAATGAGGAACTTCTAATCATTATGTGATTAGTCCAGGTATTAATTATTGTAATTTTTAAAAAAATATGGAAATCGATATTAATGTATGTTTCTCTAAAATCACCAAAATCAGCCGTTCGAATACCGAGGGGCAATGTAACATTGAGAGTCAAATTATTTGCTTTTCCTATTTCATTAATATGGATCGACGGAGGTCTAGCCAGAACCAAAAAAAGATGTAGAATAGAAACTGAGGGGTCAAACTGATTTATTACTTCTTTCACTGAAAATATGGACAAAGACGGATCCGAAGCGACCCCGGACCCGCAAAGATAAAAGTTAATACAATTGTAGTTTAACTAGCTGAAGTTTTGTCATTTGATCGATTCCGTTCTCGTTGCAGGTTTTTCTTATAAAGTCAATTCAGTTTCTTTAGACTAAACCCAAAGTCATGTAATCGTCTTTGCTAGTAACTGTTACGCGATTATAGTAGCTCTCTGGAATTTAAACGTAGTACCGACAATGTTAATAATCAAAGCTTTCTCGTTACCAGTAATCTCCAGGACTTTATTCACCCTCGAGTGAACCCAACAACGGACTACAATTTCCCACTATAATTAATGTCACAAATACCAAGGTTCGTTGTTAAAAGATGCAAATATTAAAAAATGTACGTTAATCGACCAATCGTTCATCTCTCGCCATAATTTTTTTTTTCTGAATTCCATTTTTAAACACTAATCCAGTGCAATAGGTAAGCACGTTTTGGAACAATATTAGTCCTATAACATAATTCACTTCCACGTCGATACCACCACATTATCGAGCAATTTGTAATGGCTTCGAGTCGCGGTGCTTTCCAGCAAAATTTGCGAACACTCGGAGCTTCACGATGTTATTAATAACGACGACAATTAAAGCGAGCTCACGGCTCATAAATGAGTCGTCAATTACAGGACTCGGCTCGGTCTGGAGTAAAGCTGGCTCGCGTGCCGTCTAATGCGTCGCTTTCGTCGCTATCACGAGCGCCGTATCAACGAGCGGCAACGCGGCTCATCGGTAAGCGTTAACAGACGTCTACACCCACGCGTTAATGCGACTCGACCAACCGCCGACTCTCGAACCCACCGAGGAAACGAATCGATACGATTCTACGTCCGTGATTACGCCCTCGGAGAGTAATCCGACCGTTTAACGCGCGAATGCAGTTCTCGTCGTTAAGGGAGTTAACGCTGCCGTCATGGTCGATTCTGCCAACAATTTATGCTCGTTTCGGCCACGGAGATTAATAACGGTCCAAATGGCCAGAAACTTTGCAACCGCTAATGGCGCCATTAAGTCAACTGCTTTTCGTTAAATGTACCCAGATTTGGTGGCTCGTGACCTCAGACGTATTTTTCAAATGCATGAAATGATGAATTTATCGCATCAACGAGCACTCGTGGGGAGAGTGTTCGAGAATAAAATATTGGAAGCCTTCCTTTTACCGCTGCCGAGCTGGTAATCATATATTAATTAGCATTGAACTTAAGATTCACTGTACCGGTACTTTACCATTTTGACACGGAACAATAACTTATCTTGCAACAGTGCTGTTGACGATTCCCTCCCTTCCCTAGGAATGCTCTTTTCCTATCGATCAGAGCTCCTCATTGTATCTTTTTGACAACGAAACATCGATTTAAAATTAGATCCACCGACAATTATTACATAAACTAATTCTCCCTATAAAACCCGACAAATTGAGCGGTTCCGTAAATGTAGTATCGATACCATTTAAAATAACTACACACGTTGAAAGCATTCAAACTAGACTCGTATTAGCCATTGATGATAATTTTTCATCCCAATCATTCCGTAGAACGTGATCAGTAAAAACCTCTGTTTATCCCTGAACGACAATTATTAATAATTACCCAAATGAAGCAGGAAACTTTACGAGTGCCCAACCAAGACCGAAGCGGAATCGGCGTCGGAACCGTGGCATCGGCGACCACATTGAGAAAGCAACGGGGAAAAAAGAGGCGAACGATTCGACGATCAACATCGAGGAACATGTCGGGCCGTGACGTGACTCGAGTTTGCTTCCACAAATTAGCGGCGTGTAGCCGGGAGAGCAACTAAATTTACTGTCGATTTCCTGCTCTCGGGACGAAGTTGCGGAGCTACCTAAAGATGTCGAGAAGCGTGTCGACGTTGGCGCTCTCTAGAGGACCACGACGGTAACGGCCGTGTTCGGTCCGATAATTAGCCGGTTTACAGGCGGCGAGCGATAAGCGTTCGGTAAAGGCCGACTCGTTAGCATAAAGGATCAATCGAGAGGTCCTAGGAGAGGAAGGAAGAGAAAAACGGCCGGAGAGACGAAGGAACGGGCGCGACGAGAGGACTACCCTCGGCGGCGGTGTCGATATCGTCCTCGCGTTGGCAGTCGGCCGAAAGCCAGACTTATATTGTCCCTAATATGAAAAATGGAGGCGGCTGCAACTCTTGAGACTTAACTGCTGCAGGTGGCTCCAACACCCTTAGACACGCACTCGGACGCACACGATGCCACTCGGCCCTCGAATCCTGCGAGGCTCGCTACCGAAGGAATAACCATCGGGCCCGAATACCAAGGACAACGGGGATTGAGCCGTCCTCCGAACACTTTGCGAGGGAACACGCAACCTTCCAACGCGTCGCTCCTTACCGCAAATTTCGAAACGCTCGCATTTTAGAATCAATCATACTTCGAGCACATATCGCGTCGTTCGGGGTCGATTTAACCCTAGAACTACCGGCGGATTTTTTTTTTTTTTTTTTTGTATAGGATGGGCCATTTGAAACCAGTCATTTTGACTGGTCTTGGTCATTCTAGTGTTAAACGGATGATACGGGAAAACTGTGTCTAATCAATGCGGACCGATCACCGATGATCCACGCTGGAACTTCCGTTCGTGCCTTTTGATATCTTGGCCGGAAGAACCAAAATCTTGAAACACTTCAATGTATGTATATTGTGGAAGAGAACTGGAACCAAACTGTTTTTATGGTAAAGTTGGCCAATCTGTCAGGCAATTCGCCTCGTGGACGAATATTACTGAATTTTACAATCTGTAATACATCGTATAAAGGTTGTAACGTACGAACTGGCACTGTAATGGACTTGGAAATATCATTTCGTATCTTACACAGCTTGATTCTATATATCAGATTTGTCTACTAATGGGAATAATATCTCGCCTTATTAACTGCGTAGTGGGGTGGTATATGCATTGTCCACTGCACGACATCCTGCCACGAGTTTAGTCGATTTATGAAATTGCCCACGACTTTAATGGAGAAACGATCGAACGGAGTTCGCGTTTGCGCGGCAGGCCTGCAAACACCAAGGACATCGAGGATTAAGCCATCGCTCGGACACGTCGCTTTGGAGCACGCAAGCATCACGGAAACGTCGATTCATTAATTACCGGCAAACTACCGCCGAGACGTTAAATTATGTCCCGGTAAATCCGATACGATCGATGCTAAATGGTTAACCGTACGCCCACAAATGTTGCTTCATCAGCGGTAATTCCGTTATTGCGGTACTCCATTATGGTACCATTTTTCATTATGGATTAAGTGTGCAAAGAAATCTAAATTTACGGGTAAACGTGTCATTGATCATTCAAAGATTATTTGCAAGATAAACTGACCTGGAACGTCACACTCTAATCGGTCGCTAACATTATAAACGTTGTCGAGATATCAATTAGGGTGATAACGTTCAATTCCTCAGCCAATTTCACGACAATTTCTTTCGTTCTTTCGCCAGTAAGCCGTGCATTGTCGTCACCGTGACAATTTTCGAAATGTTGTCTCGTAAATGCAGGAAATACTTCTGAACGCAATGAAAAGTCGATTCCTTCTCAAGGTAATTTTTTCCGGTCGATAAGGACGCGAGACGTGTCACGCTCACCAGAGGCCGGTCGTACGACTAGCATAATTTGCAAGCGGTAATTCATCAAAGAACGCACCATCCATGTAATACACGTTGATAGCAGTATTACGCGCGCGATTTATAGCCCCTTCGTTTCCGCCTTACGTTGTCCATACTCGGACATATGTAAGATAGATCGTTCAACGGCTTCTACATGGGTTCGCTACCACTATTTCCTTAGCTCCTTCTGCCTTTCTCCTCGAGACGATTGAATTTTACAGCTGCTTTCTCTCCGCAAAAACAAATCCATTTTGAGCAATGCGCTAACACGAACCCCCTTTACACCGTCCGCATTAATCCTCGCGATCTCCTCGCAGCAAATTTAGAATTAAATCTCTCGAACTTATGATTTAGTGTATGTTGAGTATGATCACCAAAAGTCATCACTTTACAGAATATTACAGAATCAGATGGGAAAATATAGAAAATACTTCCACCAACGATTGCAAGAGGCTTACCTCGGGGTTAACACGTGTTTTTGGAGCAAAAATTTAGTTGCAACTAAACGTCACAGATGGCGACGCTGGTCTTAAACGGCCGTTAGAATAATGAATTCACGGGATTTCGACAGTTTTACATCGATCTCTTCATCATTAATTTACCGAAATGATATATGGAAGCTTCAATTCGTATAATTATTAATGTAGACTGTAAATGACTTCAACATTAATATAAATATCGGTAACGGGACGCGCCAGCTTGAATTACATCTTGAGTATTCAAAATGACGTTGCCACCAAAAAGGGTGTACATGAATTTTAATTTATCAACCTGGATTAAATTTCTCAGCGCCTTTCGTATCATCTTAAACGTCGCGTCCACGCGCCGGATCTCTAATGGTAAGTCCACTTTCACTGCTCTCCGATCTCCCTCGAATACTCGACGCCTTTTTGCTCCGCGTTCTAAACCGCGCGATGGATTCGCAATAAGACCAAAAGGTCCTCGATGACCCTTCTCGCTCCGCCGGAGGAAATCTATTACCATCTATATTTTTCGGCGTAAGAACGCCTCGACGAGCAAGGATAAAGAAAGAGATCATCCGCGGCACGGCGACGCGAGCAAATGAACACACCAGGAAGGATGGCTTTTCAGCGAACGGCCCGATGGTAGGAACACTAAAACCGAACTTTCATCGATTATCCATTACCCGGAACCCGTCGCGACCGCGGGATAACGTCCCCTGGAACATGCGATATCCCCTCCGAGCATCCCGGAATTTGCGGCGAGTCGAGAGCGCATAAAGAGAGGCGCGCACCCGAGACAGTTCTCGCTCGCCGTAAACCCCGGAACGCTGAAAGGCAACGTCAGGACGTGAAAAGAGTGTTGAACCGAGCCCGAAGATGCCCGGAGGTGGCCCGAGGAGAAGCGTTTCGTGTATCGTCCGCGCATTCTCGGGACGGACACCTCCTACGGAGCCTTTTAAAATCGACGAGGCCGAGGCGTCCTCACCTTCCCCGGGTTCCAGTTCGAGGCACCTGATGAGACTTGCACGAGTCCTTCGCGGAACGAGTCGGAGATCGTCAGGGTACCTGGACTGCGGAAAGAGATATTTTTATCCATCTCCCACGTCCGCCGGGCACTCGGACGGTCGACTCGTGGCGTTCTATTTTACATTGCCGCGAAAAACGTCTTGTCTTTCGAGATCTTGACATTATCGAAAGTAAGGAAGGTCTTTGAAACCGCTTCGTTCCAAAACCCCCCCTATAATTATTAACTCTAGTACGCGCAGAGAGGCCTGCAGTTTATGCGAAATAAATCCGCCTAATAAAAAAATATACAGAGAACGTCATTCCAATATTCCCTTGACGTATCTCCAGTATACGGAAAGGCCCTAGAAACGCCAGGGCAACGCATACGCAACACTCCCGGTAACCCATAATTCGATCCCACCGAATGAAATCACGTTCCGAAAGGAAACTCCGTTTAATCGTTTCTTCTTTTTTTTTCCCCCGCGCTTAATTTGCTCCGAAGTCATTAGAAAGAAGTCATTAGAAGATTAGTAGTTAGAGGCATGACTCGAAAGGCGCTCACGCCCGCAGGTTAATCGATTCCCGTCGCGTCCCGTTACGCCGGTCCAAAGGACGAGCCGTAAGGACGCGACCTCGGGCCGCAAGTGGGTCGGGCGAAGGTACGCATCGCGTGGACGAGCGCTTTTGGACCACCGTGTAGTAGCCGCTCGCAGGCGGGGGTCTTATGATATCGCGTCATACGAAACGATGAAATAGTGGCCGTAGCAAAGGAATGTTCCCTACCACTGGAGTCGTCGAGTCGAGTCGACCGCGACGCGTTACGCGGCCGCCCGCGGCCGGACCGGCGGCGACGGCGCGACTGCGCGGCCCCGTGTGCGTGCGCGCGCGCGCGAGCGGCCGCGCCAGTGGTGGTGCCCCGCCTCGCGCGACCGGCAGTCGCCGCACGGCGCTCGAAAGGCGCGCTCGGATCCGAGCGTGGGCTACCGCGATCATCATGACAAAAGCTTCGGGCAAACATTCGTTCAATTTATTAGCTTACGGCCGCACGGCCCAGTAGGTATACCACCTACGACACCTCTCCGCCCGTAACCCCGGCAACGTTACGGCCGTTCCCCCGGACCCGACGCCCGAGGTGCCGACTTCCCCTACCCCAGGAAACCTGCCGCTACCGACTTTCACCGATCCCGAGTCCGAAGGGTTGGCCAGGATAATGCCCGAGACGTTGGAAAAACGGGCTCTTTGCTGACTTCTTAAAGAATTTTCCGGAGCTAATCGCAATATTTTCAGACACTCGCGGAATCACGTTCCGGCGTGACCGTCTCAGCGGGGGTGATCTCCAAAAAACTGGTAACCCGTGACTCGTCTTCCCGTCGTCCGAAAATAGTCCAGGAGCGAAGCTGGTCGAAATCAACTAGTACAATGTTAAATAAACGTTCGCAATGAAAATGTCTTAATTTATTTCATGAAGACCATCCCATGAATAGCAAAGTAAATTAAGGGACCGTACGCAGCGAGTTCTCCTACATAGATTTTGTACCTTAGTCGTATCATCTCAGGCTTGCGCTAGCTTTGGGTCGAGATTTACCGGGCCCATTGATGCCCACCGCAGGACGTAGCGAACATCCGCGTTTCGACAAGCGGCCGTTGGTTCCGAAATCCGACTGGTTCCCTTGGAGCGTGACCCGTCGCGTGAGCCCGCGTGCCGAATGGTGGCCGCGATGCGTTTCCGCGTGCGACGCGGATGGACGTGCGGACGCACGCGACCCGCCTGCCCAGCGGCCACGGGGTGCGTAAGTACGTACGTAGGTACGGACGCGGGTACTTATGTCGAGGTACATACGCGCGCGACAGGCGCGAACCGTCCGGCCTGTCACCGATGGACTGTTCCCCGACATAATGTTATGCTTTACACACTGGTAGCACCGACGCGCACCTCTCTCCGTAATTTATGTACGGAACGATGTAGCCATATAGCCGCCGGTAAATGCGTTTTAAGGTACCGTACTCGGGAGCGCATCTTCCTGGCTGGACATCCTTAACGGCTCCTTTACCGCGAGAACTTCAGCCGGGAAAAAGAGCCGCGCGAGTGCGTCGTTCCGCCCGGGATGCACTCGAGATGCATTCTGGATGCAAGTCGGATAATCAACCCCGGTTACGATTGCTCGGGCAAAATTGCGAACCTCGAAGTCAGGAGGTTCTATTGCGTTTCCGACTCGTTCCAGGTCCCCGCACCCAATGGAATCTCCAAAACGGGTTAAAGTGCCACACTTTTTTAAGTATCAATGAACTTCGTTCCGAATTCTTTACAGTCGACAGTTTACCATACATGTCAAGCAAGAGATATTGCACGAACAGCTCCGCGAGTGCGTTATTGTAAGCGCGGCATACTCTATATATGCCGGGACAACCAGTCATACTATGACGGTTCAAATGTGAGTTTAAACGCTGATGATTACAGGCACAAGGTGCTCGGGGTGCAGATATGGTCTTCTTCCTCGTTCCTTCCTCGACGTTTTCTCTTCAAAGACCAATAATACATGTACATACAATACCTATTTAATAAATTTATTCACTCCTTCCGCGTAGAACGCAACGGGTAGGTACTCGTAATTCCGGTGATGCTAAGTCTTGTTCCTTTCATGACGACTTCGCTTCAAATCAAAACTGTTGATAGGTACCATTACTAATTGACGTTTTCTGCTAATACAAAGTAATACCCTTCGGCGAGCGTCTGTCTAACCGAGCTTCTTTAATACTTTTTTTACTTCTTGAAACGAAACAAATATATATATCCATGTAAGTAATAAACCGTTTCGCTCAAGCACCATCTTTAAACGTAAATGACGATGTTATGAGTTTATATTTTTTTAAAACGATTATAAGAAGAAACTGGCTTTATTGCAATAATGTTTCTTCTGTACCGTTATCGCGAGATCCATCGTAATGATTTAATTCTATTTGTTTAATATCTATGTCTAAGAAAAGTGAATTAATTATTAACCCTTTCACGGCGATTCGATTCAAACGACCACCCTCTCATACATAATGAACAATACCTAGTTACCACTCAGTCACTGAGATAAATCACCAATGTTGTCAAAGTCAATAAGAACAAGATTGCGTTGTACTAATCGTGAGCTAAATTTTACTGTGCCACCGCGTACATGTTCGTCGACGCGTGAACATGTACTCATTCAGGTTAGTTTACAGGGTATTAACAAAACACGAATTGACCGTCTTCTCGGCATATCTTGAGGCTACGCCGGCGAACTTCTTTGCTGCTTCGGCAGTAAATTCTACTCGCGGCAGCCATAAACTAGAGGCTGCATTTTCTTTGCCGCCCTGATGATATAATTTTTTTTTTCCGCGAGCACTTCCCAACAGCTTTCACGAGGATTACAGAAAGTTCACACCACCGGGAACTGCACAAGGGCGTCCTACGTTCCCTCATTTTCCCCGCCGCTCCTTCCCACGAAGTCGAGACACCAGGCAGAGGGTACGGCAACTTATTAGCATCCTCGGTGAAAATTGTACGAGGTACTAATTGCGCTCTCGTTTCTTTCACGGCTCCTCCGACTGGTGGTATAAACTACTAGTAAGTTCGCACCATTTATTTCCAGCCACGTTGCTATAATACCCGAGCTTACTTATTGAGGCTGACTCCTCATACCGGTATTCCTATCAGCACTACCCAACCAGAACTCAAGCCTAATATCAGGAATCCTTCAACCGCCCGAAACCATCTACCAGCCTTAAGATGACATGAAAGTATCATTCTATATATCAAAATATGAAAATATTTACAAAACTTTTCTCTAAACTGAGTACACCGAATCATTTGAAACTCCAACATTTGATTATGAAAGCCCTAAGGAAGAACGTGGTGTTCATGAAATTTCCTTTTTCCAAAAACAATATGTATTCTTGGTTCAAAGTTGGGATAAAGACATTTTTTATTGCAAATGAAATTTCATAAGCACCAGTTTAGAGAAAAGTTTTATGAATATTTTGACGTTTTATATATACATGTATAGAATGACCCTTTCATATCACTTTAAAGTCGTTGACTAATGTTTTATGCGTGACTACCGTCGCGACTATCACCCATTGTGCGACATCGAACAAAGAACTAAAAGGTAATAGCGCGGCGCTTATTAGACCGTGCAAAAGTAATAATTTCCCATAGGGACACGAAAGGTCACCAAGGTAGCTTCTACCCAGCGACCAGAAACCCGCCATTTTGTGAATTACCTCGAATCGGTTCTACGAAGATGGATTTGCTTACCTGACCCTGATTGTCCATGTCGTTGTTGGTGAGCTTAACCTTCTCGAAGGAGACGACGTGTTTGTGAAGCTGCTCTCCCTTAAAGGGCGAGTCGGGATGGACGTAGAGACGTGCCGGTGCCGGAGGGTCGGCTTTTCCGGCGACCAACCAGCAACTCCGATGATAGGCGTATCGGTACCTCTTGTCGTCCACGGGAACGATGTCCATCAGAACGGCGTACCGGCCTTCGGGCTTCAACTCGCTGAACGAAACTCTGCAGGTCGGGAACATTCGCCTGCGAAAATCGAACAAAGCAAGGTTAAGGTCGCTTCCAGTGACGTCATTCGCAACCCGAGGAAATAAGTCGAAAATACGGACAAAAGACGGTACTAAAATCGGACGGGGTGGGTGCCCACACACTGGTTTATCCCAATATCTACACGCTGGTGTGGATACAAACGGCTCCTTAGATGGCCAAACATTCGGCGAGCTTCCATCGGACCGCGCTTCTTTTCTTCGCTTTTCGTTTCGAGTTTAAGAGCGCGCTGACAACTCTACGGTATCGGCATGGCGTGATTTTTAAACATAAACGGGTATTCGGGAAGTTACCGTTACTCAAAGGAAGCGAAAACGAAAGAATAAGAAAGGTCAAGGAAAGAATATATGTACAAAACGAATTAAATTCACTGCAAAGGAAATGAACTTGCCTCCGTTCGTCTGTTTGTTTTATATTAATTTTTATCACGCAAGGAAATAATCTATGGGATAAAAATATCTCTTTGATACAATGTAAAAATACCGGACAAAGATAAAAGTATACCGTTTTAAGAGACTCTTGTTCAATGTACATGTACATTCTTATATGTGACAACCCATGCGTGGGCCTGTCTTCGAGTTGAAAAATGACTTCATTCATTTCATGGGTACGTCATAAATGAACGCACGTTAAAGTAGTGAAAATAATACCTTAAGTAACGTATAATATTCTGCGAGACTGATTTTCAAAATTCGCCGTAATGATAGACAGAACATATCTAATGCCGCGTGGGTACTGGTGGCGACTGTTGAAAATGAATGCTCTCGCGAGTGAGAGGTAAATCCGTACCACGTCGCAGCTAACCTTTCACGTTTTGATCGGGCTTTGAACTTACCATATCATTTTCCTAAGTTTCCCTAAGGATCTGCGAGAGCCCGCCCGATCGACCGGAGCAGTAAATTGAGACGCGCGATTGCGTGACGCGAATCGAAATGACAGGTGGAACACCTCGAACGATCGAAAGTCACTCGCGAATCGACACATGGGAAAAAGGATGATTCTCGAGTTATTCCTTACCATTTATAACCGTGTCTTGAAAGCTCATTTCAATAGGAGTAAGCTTACAATCGAACACGCGTTGAGGCCCTTACTTCTCACGTAAGCGTAACGATAAGCATAACAACAAGAAGTAGCCAATCAATTTCAGAAAATTAAATCTGGTATTGATATTTGATAATTTGGCCAATTCTTCCTACTTTGCTTATGGCCCCTGTTAAACAAGGTATCCATGAAGACCTTCACACTCATAAGAATTCAATAAAAAAAAATGTTGAATGCGAAAAATCGCCAAGGAACGAACATGATCCGTGCCAAGATCGTTTCAAAAGGTAATAGGCGGTAATAATTAAAACATGTTTATATTGGAAACTTAGGAAACCCGAAGTAACGCCTTTTTTTAGTTCCGTAAATTACCGAGTCATTGCTTGCACGCATGATATTCCAGATAAGATTAATAGGGTAACACCTTGAGAAAAGACAAATGAACATCTTGCACGGCAGAAGGAGTTCCTTACTCGATCGAACATCCATATTAAATTTCGATCAGTGTTCGCGAGTATTTTCGATTGCATATGTTAGAAAGTGTGCGATAAAGTATGTGCACCGCTACATAGGTAATCGATTTACGGCAAACTTCAAGTAATTCGCGAGCCATGTAATACCCAAAAAATCCAACCTGTCAGGGCACGGAATGTCAAAATTCCCAAGTAACGGATACAATAAACAATATGTAAAATAGGTAAGTTTACGTAAACGGCAATATGCGTGAATTACAAGACAGTCATTTAGTGAAAATTAAAATCAATATTACAAATATGGTCACGAAGTCGTAACCTCTATCTTGAATTAACTTCCAGGCATCGTTTGCCAATCTTCTCTAGATTTAATTAATTCTCCTTCTAGATTTATTCTTCGCCCAGATTTTCAATTTTAAATCACGCAAAATAATAAAAAATGAAAAATACTGGAAATACCGCACCGACGAATTTCAATAACACGCATTACGCCATTATTGCATAGCTGATTGCTTCGGGATTTCATGAAAGGTGCATTCATTGCACAACATTTCATTGAGAGAACACCTATTACATTTCGAAGAAAAAATGATCCTACCCGTGAGAGGGAATACATCGCCGCGCATTTGAAGGTATCACAAAATAAACCCAAAATACGTTAAAATATCTCGAAAGGTACATTTCAAGTGGCACATCCGAAAAATTCACACGTCCCAATTTCGAAGGGACCTCTCTACCGATAGAATTACGTAACAGGACGTTACGGAAGCATTTCCTAGTTCGTACCTGGCGGAAGGGAATGACTCTCGAAATCCGTCTCGGACGTTTTGTTTAAGATCGAAATTGCCGGCTAACAGCTTCTCGACAGGGGTCGGACCGCCGCGGAGAGGAGAGGCGACTTTTCGAGCTCTTTACGAACGTCAACCTGTTGATGGCTTCGCAAGCATCGGAACGCGCGCGTCACCCCGCCCATATACATAAGTCTTGGCTCTAACGCGAAGCAGCGAGTTCCTCATCCCGCGTTCCGACACTCCACATGGACCCGACCTTAATCCCGAGAAGAGCTTTCACTTCTGGCAGGGACGAGGGACCGGCCCCGAGGAGAAGGGAATCCCCGATGGGACGTGTTGAAAAGAGCCCAGGACGTTAAGAGGAGCCACCGTTCGCGGTAGAGTATCGAAACTAAATTCCCCACCGAAACTCCAGTCGGATTTCCAAGCGATTATGGCAATACAAGATCGGCCGGAACGAGTCTCTCGCCCCGGGTGAAAAAAAGAATCCTAAGAGAATTAATACTCGCCACCTCGAGGGACCTACACCGACGGGACGTTTCGAGAGAGAATTACGGTGATTCTATGCTAATTCGCGCGTACGCGGGACTCTTTTTTCAAGGAAACGACCAACGCGTTGTGGTTGCAGTTTCCAGGATTTAACGCGCTTCTATAGGCTACCGAATGTGAGAACTCTTCACAAGAGTAGGCGGACGATGACTAACGCTCCAACCATGCTTTCCCAAAAATTCTGGATTAAAGCGTTCTCGATCTTTTTCTTCACACTTTCCTTGTGCATATTAACGCGTTACCCTGGTCCCTAGGGACCATCGTTATATGTTGCCAGCAACGTGATAAGTTGCACAGGTTTTCAATGGGTAGGAGAACAGTTGTAGAATTGTTTCCGAACGCAAGTATGGCGTGACGTACCGACAAAATTCGAAATATCCGAATCGTCGTATTAAGCACGGCTTCGTAAATTTAGCTGGGCCAAAAGAAAAAAATCTGCAAAGGTTCCCCGTTGAAGTAGCATTGTCGTGCCGAGCCGGAAACAATTGTTAGTTATTTCAGCAGATATTGCAAAACTAAGAGCTCGATCTATGTCACTCCTTATACGAATAACGTAATGAACTTCGAAGCGAATGTAAATATTTTTCAGTGAAGCCTATAAGGAAGAAACAACGAAAAATGAACGGCCCAATGAAAAAACGGACGGCAACGGGCCGGCCACTGGTTTGCCCGGGTCCTTGCAACCCACGGAATCGGGCATTTTTTCAAGGACTACATCCCTCCGACGAGTCTCAAGAAGTACAACGTACTCCAGAGAAGGAAGCAACTCCTCCGATTAAAAAGATATCACCGAGAAAACCACAAAATACGACGCCAATAGCCCGACGTCCTCTGAAGTCTAACAATCTTGGTTGCAGGCAACAAAACGAACCCCGTCCTCGTTTCTGTCTTCATACGATGCTCGTTCTCGCGTACTTCCTAATTCACGTCACCATTGCCACATTTTCGAGGAACAAAGAGCAATACCGAACCTTCATGGCAAGCCAGTTTTTAGGCGTAGTTGTTCTTTTCACATGGAAACTGACCGGCTGGGTCCTCGTTTAAGACAGACATTTCATCGGCGAAGAGCAACGCTCCGAGAACGCGAACATGGCAAGCTCAATTAATGCGACAATGAAACACGTCACGCGAAGGTACTCACATACTTTCAGCCAATTGGGTTACACCTCATCTCTTGACTTTCCCAACTCGGCATAGCCTCGTCGAGAGGAACCTCGAAATCGAAGAAAAAAAAAGTACCTGCTAGCCTAATGGTCTCATAGGACAGTAACAACGTGAAAAGTTCAAGCAAATCGTGAAACGTTTACTTCTATTGTAACGTCATTATATTTGGTTTATTTAATGTTCTTAATTTATTGCCGCTACGATGACGCTTTAATTACCATTTTCTTCTGCAGTATACGATTTGCGTCGTTCACCAAAACGCGAGTACAATTCGGAGCAACTATACTCGAACGCGAACCGCGGGCTTGGGTACACTTCGGGGGATACGATCCGGGAACCGATGAAACAATGCGCTCCGACTTTCAGGTGGAGCCTCGGAAATCATTCGTGAGAATAGGGTGGATTAATTGAAAAGGCGGAGGGCTTTCGAGGGCGACGGTCTCCTTCCGCTCGATCAAGGTGTACCCTCGTTAATTAAGAAGGACCAAACAACCCTTGGTATGGTTGTACCCTAACGAGCCTATAATCGCGGAAGCACGAGGACTCGTCACGACCCACGACCGGGGGTCGATTCGACCCCAAGCTCCCGAAGGTGGAGGCCGACCCATCGACCGTCCTCGAGGAGGGTGCCGACCAAATGGGTTGTGGAACCAGTGGGTATTATAGCGATCTAAGTAATCGTCCGAGTTACTTCGACCGTTTGCCGAGCTAACGACTTCGCGGGCCCCGCCAGGTGGGGTCACTGTTAAAATTATTCATGTGCGCTGTATAGCGTCTTATGATAGACCGGGGCATGGTTATGGAGTTCCTCTAGTCGCGCTCGGTTTGCTCGTCAACAGTTCCCTTGACGATCGGGACCTTCCCCCAATATATATATTTTCTCCCACAAAAGGGACTCGACTCCGCGCCTTTTGCATCTCGCAACATCCTGAACAATGACAACCACGGTAATTATCTTCTG